TCAGTGGTGGATAGGCCCACCAGGAATTCGGGATTTTCCCGGTAGGCCTTATCCTGTGTTGATATATGGGGCCCTAGGACTATTTATCAAGTACTGAATCTTGTGTGATGAAAATTGAAAATAATTTTAATAAAGATGCAAATAGAATAATTTAATATTTTTAACCACTCTACCAAAAAAAAATCAAAAATACCATAATCATTTAGCTATTTTTTTTATAGTCCTATAGACAATATTTATTTTTGTTCCCCGTATCGGCCGTATCATTGGAAATATTGAAATTTATTTTTAGATCAATTATTGAAAACAGTATTTAATATCGATAGATTATAGCTGTACTATATAATGTACCAATGCGGTGGTTGTACACTTATACGCTCTTATACTAATTTATAATTTTATTTTTATGTCCTATTGGCTGTTGTCAGTTGTGTCAGTTTTCACCTTATTATTAAGAGTACGTAACAGTAGTATTTGTTGTCTCCGACTTATTTACTTATCTACTTCAATTACTTTTTAAACTAAAGGAGCCATAAGTGTTCTACTGAGCGTAAATTTGCTATATTACGCACTGGTAAGACGGAGACAACAAATACCACTGTTACGTACTCTTAAATTGTTTGATTGTCTAATGTTTATTCATATTTTTCATTGAAGTGTTTAATGTATAGTTTATGCGTATATTAATTTAGATACGTTATAAAATATAAATATAAATTTTGCTTTTGAATTACTTAATAAATTATAATATATTATTATATACATTATTTATTATTTAATTATAAACAAACTAYGAATACCGATGGCAAAAACTGAATAATCGAATATGAGTCGGAGCTTTGAAATGGAGTAAAAAAAAAAAAATAGAGAGGCATTACTACAGTGTGCAAATGACAAAAATAAATTTTTTTTCTCAAAGTTCTACTGTTAGATAGGAACTTAATTTACAAAAACCTCAATTTCAGAAGTGTCAATGGGTAAAATCAGTTATCCATCCAAACATAAAATATTAYATTTTTATGAATAATAATGGGTAACAAAAATAAGTAAAAAAATATTGATTATAAGATTAGATAATCTATCAATAATTTATTTGAAAGAAAATTGGCAGAGGATCCATGATTTCTTAGTCTTCCATCAGGAATTTAGCCAAAAATCCTTATTGAAAAATTGATGGGCTAAGTATTTTCTTGGAATACAATTCCAAACCAATAATTTTCCAACTAGCATCACATAACTTTTTCTCAACAATACAATTGGAAATGGTGAAAAAAAATTATGTGACATCAATTTTCACGAGGCCTTTCAATRAATACCATGGAATATTACTAAACTTAAATTTTGAATTTAAGTCATTATTTTAAGAATATACATGAAAAACTGATATATTAAATACAGGAATTATTTTTAGGTCCACTCTACCAAGCAAGATTATAATAATTTTGACATTCATTATAGAAAAATCTTGTAAATAATTTTATTTTCAAGCCATATTTATTATTTTATTGGATATTTAAATTTTAAACATAACATAAATTATCAAATATAAAATATGAATATGCAATTTTTACAATAAAATTTTCATTTTGATGACCCGTCTTTTAATGAAATTGTTCTATTAAACACTAATTTAGTGTCATTAGAATCAAAATCCACACAAAAATACCCTAATCTTTCAAATTGATAATTCTTTAACACTGGTGATTTTAATATGTGTTCATCAGCATAAGCATTGACTATTTTCAATGAATCTGAATTAACATCACTAAGATAGCCGTTTGGCACTTGGTTAGTGTCTTCTGGATTTTTACTCATAAATAATCGATCATACAATCTGACTTCAATCTCAATAGGATTTGAAACCCAATGTATAAATGCTTTTGGTTTTGGTGCAGTTTTAACATCTGTTGCTTCAACATGAATTTCTTCTATTTTTGTCCCAGAAGTTATTACTTTTATCACTTTTATCACAATTCCTGCATATCTTAAACCAACAGTTTGGTCAATGGTTAAGCGGCGATAATCTTTATCCGGATTTTGACTAAAATCAATGGAATCAATGTAAAGCACTGATGAGAATTTGACATCGTGCCAACCTTTGTCTGGATCACTTGGAAAATCAGGAACACTTAATGAAAATGGCTTATTTAATTTTTCAAAGTTGGTAATAATTATTTTCAAAGGCTCAAGGGCAACCATAGTTCTAAATGCTGTAAGATTTAGGTAATCTTGAACTTCAGATTCAAGCATTTTTGGATCAACAATAGCTTGAGCTCCAGTTACACCCATACGTGCACAAAATGAGTTAATTGATTTTGCAGGAAAGCCTCTACGCCGCAATGCAGATAATGTAAACAACCTAGGGTCGTCCCAATCATTAACAATTTTATTTTCAATTAATTTACCAATTTTTCTTTTAGATACAACTGTATAGTTCATATTAAGTCTACCATATTCCCATTGTACAGGGCAATAAAGATCGAGCGAGTTGCATAACCAATAATAAGTAGATCTTCGATTTTGAAATTCTTTAGTGCAAAGAGAATGTGTAATATTTTCAATAGAATCGCAAAGACAATGGGTATAATCATACGTTGGATATATACACCATTTATCTTTAGTACGATGGTGTGGCAAAAATTTGATACGATAAGCAACTGGATCTTGTTTTCCTTCTTCAAGAGTTACTTTCATTCTCAATGTAGCTTCTCCTTCATCAAAAATTCCATTTTTCATATCATTAAATAAAGACAGATTTTCCTCAACTGGACGATTACGCCATGGGGATGGCGGTGGATTAAATCCTTGCATGTCTTGTTGTTTTTGATGGCAGACATAAGCCAATCCTTTTTTTGTTAAAGCAATAGCCAAATCGTAGAGCTGATCAAAATAATCTGAAGAATGGGTGATTCTGTGAGGTTTATAGCCTAACCATTCTACCATTTCTTTGATACCTGTAAAATATTTTTCTTCTTCCTTTTCTGGATTCGTATCATCATACCTAAAAGTATAAAAACAATAAGTAAAACAATGTTAAATTAGTAGTATAACTGTATAGTTTTTACCTGAGAATACATTCTCCATTAGAAACTTTGGCAAATCCAAAATTTATATTAATGGCCTTGGCATGACCAATATGTAAAATTCCATTAGGTTCTGGAGGGAATCTGGTAATAACTTTGCCACTAGTTTCTTTTAAATGTTTTGATAATAACTTTTCTGTATTCGTTGTAATAACATAACCGTCAGTTTTAAAATTTTCTCCAGGCTTATGAAAGTCCACTTTACTCATCAACTCTTCAATGGACAATGGTTCATACACAAGAGTCTTTTTTTCTTCTATAGGTTTGATTTCTTTGACTTTCTTTTGCTTTTGAACAGGTGCTAAATCAGCTTCAGTTTTAGCGCCTAAAATATTCAAAATTTGACTGTCAACTTCATTTTTTATTGCTTTTCCATCAGCCCAMAMCAGTTGTTTTCTAACTTCTTGCATTAGACCACCAGTGTTAAACTTATATCTTTTCTCAATTAATTCATTTATGTTTTGAGATATAATGTCTTTAACTGTTTGCTTTATTTCGTCTATAGAAACAACAAYGCCAACCCCACAAGCTTTATTTAATTCAGAWACATCTATATTTTCAGATATTACTGAGCGTAAGTATTCCAAACTACAATCAATTCTTTGGGTTGTATCCAACTTGTTTTCAAATATGTATAAGTCGATGAGACTTACATACTTAAAGTCTTGATTTTTTAACTTGGAAGCTAGGTGATACAATAAAGTGCCATAATTAATTAAAGGTTGATCTGTTTTTGGAAATTCATTAATGACTTTTTTTAAATTGGAAGTTAAATTTTTATTTTTTATAGTTTCTTTAGCTTTAGCTTCGGAAAGGCCAATAGATACAAACAATTCCAAATCAGACATTTTCAATATCTGAAAAAAAAATTTTTTAAAAATTAAAAAAAAAAAAAAAATATTAGGTAATCAATTATTTTTACCAATATCTATTTCAAGACTTAGAATATCTTTTGTTCTGATCAGAGCACTCGAAACAGTTCCTATTGGAGTATGTAAATCTTTGACAGCAATATGATTGTAGTCTCCAGTAGTTGCAATAAATGTAGCTTTCACTTTTGAATTATCATATAAGACGGCAGTACAAGGTTTACCTAAAACATTATGTCACWTATTAATAATATGTAACAGTTAAAGTTGTACAAAAACTTAAAGTTGATATTAAGATATGTTCTAAAATTCAATCAAAATAAAATAAATCAATATTACCTAAACTAACCATACCTAGGCTTACATTGATAATAATTTATAATTTATTTTACTTATTATTTAAGTTATTTTAAAGAAGTTCAATGGCATGCCATACTCATGCCTATAAATCTCACATACTCAACATGATTATACATCTATAGCTTCAAGACTCAGTTTAGATTCCTCGGCTGATCACCAACATTTACTAAATTTCCAGTTCTTAAATAAGATCCTACCTGGTAAAATTGAATGATTAAATTATGTCCATTGCCAATGTTGACCTCTTCTTTTTATTTTTAAATTATTAATTAATATTGTATAAATCCTGGTATATGCCAATGGTTAGCCAGCAAATTTCTTCTTAAATCTTYAGCATACTCAAACCATTTTATTTTTGACATGTTTTATTCTTTATTTCTTTCTTGGCGCTATGTTTTTAAATCTATGCCTATACTTTTAATTTCAGATAACACTCAATTTTACCAATACATAAATATCTATAAATCAATCAAGTTCATCTTTATAAACAATCATTTGAATCTATTCTATTCTCATCTCTTATTCATTCATAAAACCAATTCTCATATTTACCTGYTCATGAACTTAAGATAATGTCTTATTCTATGGTCAATAAAGTTTACACACCATATCATTCATAGGAGGCCAATACGGCCGTGGGCTGCCATAAATTAATTTGGATTTATATTATTAACTTTTTCGTAGCGCTACAATAATGATCTTGAAAATTTGTTGTGGCGTAGTGGGAATAATTGCAATTTTTTTATGTAATAAACATAATTATAACATATTTTTTGTATTTTTAATTTTTTTTCAAATTCAATACAAATACAAATTTATAATGACACTGAAAAATGTCTTTGACGTACCCATGATAAATATTCTTCAGGCCGCATGGCAGTCAACGTGTTAAGGTACACTTTGATAATTTCATTGTAGTATAATATACTGATGGATCAATTTCGGCTATTCTTTTTATATTCCTGAATTACATATTTCTTTTACWTAAATATTTTTTCCCTTCTTCTCCATCTTTCGCTGCAGAGCACTATGGTATCTTTGAAGCATCCCTTAATCACTAATCTCTAATCATTTTACTTCCACCTGTCTCCCTTAGTCCTTAGAATCAAATCGATCATCCTAAAACTACATTAATCCAATTACTTTGGGTCACATTGGTATACATGGGATCCGTCAATCTGGCGAAACTCACGTCCAATTTAATCTATCCCGCCCTCAATCAAATTCCTCAAACTGACTCAATTTTATGACGTCATATAACCAACATCTGATCCACAAACTAGTCTAACCTCCCAGCTGATTTTTCCACTAGGTACAAAAACATTGCACCAAGCGTTCAAAACAAAACATGATTCAAAAACCTTAATATACCTCGGTCAACTATTATACAAATCAACCGCCTACATACAGGTCACTGATTACTACCTGATCAGGCTTACAAGCTAGGGTTAAACAACTCCCTACTCTACATCTCTATGTATGATCTCACTGCATTATTCTGTTTAGGTGAAGGTTGGTTTTATTATATAATTTTTAAGATAATAGTTGTTTTAGATTCTGAACGAAGTGAAGAATGTATTGATTTTACAATGATGTGTGATTTTTGTTTTTTTGTTTTTTTTGTTTTTGTGTCTGTGTACAGCATAACTAGTCGAAATAATGCTTCGATTTCAAACTTTGGGGGTGGTTTCCGATGTAAAAGTGAAGATCCTTGGTGCATTATAG